ATGGCTCCACGTGCCACCTGTGGCATATGTGCCATAGGTTCACCATCACAGATATATACCTTAATATCATGATGCTATAACAATAGCAATACAAACTAATCATCTCACTGCTGAGAACAATATACAAGCAACCTCTAAAGGTGTTCTGAAAGAACAATTCTTCACTCTTCTCCAGAAGGCCAAAAGGAGAGCAGCCAGCCTCCCTTCAGGAAACAAGCTATATCAAAGGATATATTAGCTTTACCAGTTACCTTTGTTTTATTATCTTCAAGAGGATTAGAGACATGTTTCTCAAGTCTTTATATGGCAAAAATGTGATCCTTTATTTACTTCACTTCCTAATTGAATTTCATATTTAGACCCTCCCTTGTATATTTAATAAAATTCCCCTTGCTTGCTTACACTTCAAATTTCTTATTCATTGACCATGTTTAATTTGTACTTTTAGTCAGAGATTAGCTATAGTCTGTTCACTAATATCACATCTCAGTATTAGCATTAGCAAAGACTATAATGAGGTCATTGTTCATGTTAATATAATCCAGTTGCTTTCAATTTTTATCAAGCACTTGCTTTAAATTTGGACGTGAAAAAAATCCAATTTAAAAATCTATTAACCAATATTTGATCTTTATATCTCCCTGCCTGCGGAAAGGTCTCCAAAGCAGGTTTTTGCAGCCTTTGGGCATCCCTGTGTTCTATGAGAATGAAGGGCAGTTATAGGTAGTCAATTGGAACTGACAGCTGTTAGCTGTTAAAACGACAAGCTATTTTTATATGTTTTCTTATTTATTTTATTTATTCAATTTATATGGTGGCCTATCTCAAACAAGATTTCCTGGGAAGGGAGGGAGAGAGAAAGAGTGTGCAACATTTCATTTATTTTACTCAGGATCTGCATAAACTTGAGCTGAAGTTTCTAGAAAAGCAGGCAAAGGAAGATGAAAAGATCGAAAAAGAAAAAAGATTGTCTAAGCTGAGAAAGAAGGTAAGAATTTAATATGGTATATATCTCAGTCCCATGTACATTTCTCAGAAGTGTACCTCTGACTTCAAAGAACTCTGGCATTTAAAAATTATCACATATGATATTAGTTTCTTATTGAAATGTCATTATATAACATTCTGAAACTGGAATTTAGTTGCCCATATGGAAGCAAGAGGGAAAGTTGTAAGTAGGTTAGAATGAAAGAAAATGGAAAAGAAATTGGGTTGAGAGTAACTCAATTAGGTATGCAAACTGCATAATGTCATTTTAAAAATAAAATGGGATTGTGTCTCCTCTGGAAATTAAATTTAAATTAAAACTGTAGCGATGATGATTCAACAATACTTCCTAATCCGTTTATTTGGTGTTCCTTCTAAGTGTTTTAGGATTGTTGACCCAGACTTTAGTTGGGGTTGGAGCAATAATCTTGGTGGACTGAAATTTAACTTTTGTATTTCTAGTGGTCTTGCTCAATCTTGTTTGGTACCACTCTGCAATTACTATCTGGTCCCATTTGACTTCTTTTCTGTTAGTAGTCACCACTCTTTTGATTTGCATCTTTATTCTAAGTATCCAGCAAGAATCAGCTGCATAATAAATTACTGGGTCTGTAATCCAAACTAATAGTAATTTGGGTTCTACAATAATGAAAATACAGTGCTATGCAAGTTTACTTCTTACTCTTTTTTGCTTAATTCATTTGTATTTGCAATTCCTTCAATTATTTTCTGTATTTTCACTATTAACAGGTTCATATTAATGTAACTCGGGATCCATGCAGGTTATTCAGACCTACAAAAGTTTGGGAAGAACGAACAAAAGAGATTGGACCTATAGGTACAGGGCCAGTGTTGTATATTCCTCATAGGTGAGAAAATTGAAATATTTTATATAATTATACTGTACATCTTAAATTAAATTACCTTAAGTTTAAATACTTATATAATTAATGTACTTTTATATGATTAATATATTTGCAAGGTACTAATCTATTTTTACATTGATAGGGCTGTCCCAAGCTGGCGACAGGGATTATAATTGGACATCTGCAAATAATTTATTTGAAGATAATATTACAACATAATGTATTGTTATATTAGTTTGTATTATATATGAGAAATGTTGTATATATGCTTATAAATGTTATGTTAAATAGAAATCAAGTATATATTGTTTTGTGTAAAGTACTTGCAAAAGCTTTTTTTTGGTTTGCATTTTTTTCTCTAGAACCTGGATTTAGCAAGTGATCTCTTTCTGTAAAGCTCAGAAAAAAGTGCATGTATTGCTTTCTATATACTTTCATGGTTATTTTCAGCCCAGAAATAAACAGAGAAAATTAACACAAGTGTTTTATCTTTGCTTTATTTATTTGCATAATGTATCTCAGATTAATTTAAGAGGGTAAGGAGGATAATATCTTCCTAAAATGGGACAGAAAATAATAAGGTCTTGTTATCAAGAAATGAGTTGTTTCTTAATCGCCATCCTTCAAAACTAATATTTTTTACAAACAAAATAACATTTAAAAAACCTTAGAAGGAGGCAAAGTATTATTATTTTTTCTGCAGACTTTCAAACAATTGAAAATGTTTCAAAGTAAGCTTGTCTATGATTGTGTGATTTAAACTTTACTTTAAAATGGTTCAAAAAACATAAAAACTAAGACAGACTAATAAAAAGAAAAAGCAGAAAAGAGAGAGAAAAGAGAAAAATCAATCATGCCAAAACGGAAAGAAATAGAAACTTCTGTTTTCTCTCTAAGCAAAGAAGTTAATTTAGCCATCTATGGAAGTTTCATCACCTTCACCAGCCATTTGTCGATTGTAGGTATTATCAAACTTTTTCACTTTGGAGCACATTGTAATCTTGCCCTAATTATTTTACATGAAAACAAAGTTCCATAACTTTTTGTTTGTTTATCCCTGAGCTCCAAAAAAAAGGTTGTATTTGGGATCTTGCACATCCCTATTAAATGCAGTGCTGATGCTGTATGAGTATTGTGGCATAGAAACTCCCTGTAAGTTCTGCAGCACACAAAATTTTGACATAATTCCTCATTTCGCTGTAATGCTTCTGAACAAAATGTTGATTTTAATCGTACAAGCTCAGATATATCTTGGAAGTTCCCTTGTAAAAATCCAGAGGCCCTGCATAAAATATAGTACAGATCCATGTTTTGCCACGCAATACCTCAATTTTAATAACACATTGTAAGCCTTTGTAGCATATGGTCTTTGAATTAGTTTAATATTTATCAGTGTTTTATCAATGAGAAATACATAATTTCAGAAGGCTTTGGGACAGAAACTGCATTTCTTATATTTCTGCACATTGAAGTTACCAAAGTTTTCAATCTAATTTTTCTGGAACAAACTATGTAAACAGAAATAATCTGCAATTTTGCAACAGTGTGTGTGGGATCCTTGGTCCTCTCTGAGCTTGCTTGTTTTCTTGCAGACATTTCATTACCCTAACTAAGTAATGTCATCAGTGCTAGTAAGGAGTGCTGTTATGCTGCTATGACTGTAAACTGACAGCAAACAATACTCTTTACTAGTAATGATAGTGTTACCTTGTTAGGGTAATGAAATGTCTGCAAGAAGTGTGTGTGTGTGTGTGTGTGTGTGTGTACACATACAACCCTACATACACCCATGCATACATGCGCATATATACATACATACATACATACATACATACATACATACATACATACATACATACAATCAGGAAAAAAGTTGTCCATTGCTACCCAATGCCGCGGTGACTGTCAGGCACGAACGACGGGAGCATTTTTAAAGCTGCTTTCGCTTGGCGCCAAAGCCGCTTAAGCCCACCTCTTGAGGCGGAACGAAGCGCTTGTCAGTTGCTGGTTGTTGCCGTCGCGGCCGCTAAAAGGGAAAAAAAGAAAAAGGGCCCGGCGTTGGGGCTGCGTCACATGACCGTGCCGCCGGTGACGGAGCTGCGTGCGAGAGTAGGAAGCGGAAGACCAACATGGCGAGCACGGTGCTGGTGGAAGACGAGGGAGGCTTCGGGGACGGGGAAAGGTTGGATTTCCTCAAGGAACGCCACGTGCGCTTCTTCCAACGCAGCCTTCAGATTTTGCCCGAACGCTATTCGTCACTGGAGACCAGCAGGTACCCTCGGGGAAGCGGCAGAGAAGTTCGGGGTGCTTCCCGTGGGGAAGTAAAC